TTTGAAATAAAGGCGCGAGGGCACGAATCCTCTTGAGGTTTTTCATACCTCATTGAGGTCTATCTATCACCAAAAGATGGGATCTAAATCGCTTAATCACCTAAATATGTTCCCTCGTTAGTAGGACCATCACCATCTTCGTATTTACGAAAAACTACTTTTTGAAGATCTTTACTTTTCATATTATATCAAAGACATAAAAAGTTGAAATAAAATAAGAAGTATAGATTTTTGTAGAGGATAAAAGGACGAATCTTTTTTAAAAAATTGATCCCGAACGGATTAGTTTTAATAAAGATGTCAGCAAAATACTGAGAGGCCCATTCTTTCTGGGACACCCGTTATGACATATACATGTGCATCCAGTAGATAACGGAAACAAATATTGATTTGATAAAATCCTATATTTTATATCCAAATAATGAACGTGATCAAAATCGAACTATGACAATTCTATTTATTGAATAAATTCAAAGCAAACTAAATTATCTGCAAGTTTTGCATTGACGTCAGTCATGTAAAAACAAGGATATCGGATACTTTGTTGTCAATTAAAACACATTCCAGATTCATGCGAGTTTTATCTCTTCGTGGTATGTTTTGTTTTAACAAAAATGAAATTTCTTTCATTCTTTTGAAGAGAGAAAGTATTACAAAGCACTATCATGTGAAACAACGAGATTTTGTCGTACAATTCAAGTGATTTTCTCATCAATCACTGAAAATGAACATTTTTCTGGTCATTGTTTTGATTCTTCTGATAAACAAAACATCACGTAAGTAAATAGGATTAGGTGCAGATGAAAAACGTATATCGTGTGTATCTAAGAAATAGCTCTCGTTCCTAATATCATCTGAGATTGGAAAAGATTCAATCGATTTGCCTTTCAAAACGATATCCACATGGTATGCACATGTCAATACAGAAGAAACTGATATATTCTCGTTTTTCAAACGAGGGTTTGTTTCATCAACAGATTTAAACTAATGAAATGAGATTAAAGGGGAAAGAGCGGAATCTGGTCATTTTGGATTCTCGGCAAAACAAATGTAGTTTCTTCACCACATGTCTTAAAAAGTCACTATCTACTTATAATGAAAAACATTTCGCACTATTTCATTGTTTTGATGAAAAGGAAGCTTGCTAAGTACATCAATTTCTTCGTTAATCTTTCTGGTATATTGTCATTATATTTGAAGATATTTGGGCACAACTTCATTGAAGTAATGCTTATTCAAGAATACCTTGATATGTTTCTAGATAATTATCACATCTCAACAGTGTTTTAACATTAGAAAGTATTTGGATTGGTTTTCATTTATTTCAATTTTTTCTCATAATCTACGATAACTTGTCAGTTGAGAAACGCTCTTCCCATTAGTTAAAAGCAATACAGCTGATTGTTTATTACCTTGACGGAAACGAAAGCGCTACGAACAAAATGTCCATAGAAAACGCGAAATCCGTTAGTGTATCTATCTATCGCAGATTAAAGGTTACTTATGGGGACATTGTTGAGTTCCAAGTTTGGAAATCTCCGTATTCAAATACTGAAGAATCAACTTTGGAGGACAATAAGGATTTCAAACTAATGTATTAATTAGACAATGGTCGTCACGTTCAGGACTGTTATGATATTCATCGACTAGACTTCGATATCTGCATGACAAGCAACCAGATATTGACAATCTTGAAATCAGTCAATCAGTTATCGATGTGATAAAAACTGTTCAGTAAAGTTTTGAGAACAATAAAACGATGTAGTTAGACGAAAGTTTCGGAGCGGCTAGTTATGAATAGCGACCCTTGGGAGCATCGACTAAGAATACAACAGTGACGATTACTCGCCGGTTAATCGTATGCATCGATAAGAGTGGAAATTCCAACTAACGAGGAAACCTTTCGACGTGATAAAGCTCTTTGAGGATCATCTTCTGACGATAGACAGACCCAAGGGGGGAAAAGCGGACCCTTCTTGATCCTAGGATCTCTCAGGATCTATAGAATCCGCTTTTTCCTCCTTGCATATATTGGTCTCTTCTTATTCGAATCTTGTCCAATTTTTTATTAACTTGTTGGAAGTGAGCAACAGTTATAAGTACGACTTAGTATATTAAATGAAGATTGTTGAGAATCATCATCATTATTATATATTAGAGACCAATTGATCTTAAGACTTATTGTGACAAAACAATTATTATCGTCTGATGATGGTCGGATTTGACAGGATTTCATCGGAAGTCACCGAGATCCAGTTAGAAACTTGAAAATTCGACACCCGACAACTTTCGGCTGGGTGCTGATATCAAGGACCCCAGAACTTCATTCTTCTTCTTTGAATAAGATGTAATGAGTTTCAAATATTTACTCGATTTAAGCTTTTGTTCTATGAGATGACTTATCGATTTATAAACAGTCAATTATTTTCACTTTTTTGTTTAGCACTTTCATTTAATCTACCAGAATTTTGTCCAACACCCCAATGGGATTCAGAGCCAATTATTTTCGCTAATAAAACATCACTAGGCACATATCCAGGGACTCTGTTTGTCAACGCGAACAATACAGTCTATGCCTTCGCTACACGGCAGAAACGTATTCTTCTATGGACTGAAGGTGCTAGCAATCCGACAAGACAGATCAGTCTTCCCGATTCTAAAGAAGGAGCTTCGATGTTCGTTGCAAGCAATGGAGATATTTACTTTGATTATCGTAAGCCAGATGGTAGAGTTGATCGCTGGATATCACAAAACGAAACTCTCGAGACAGTAACAATCTTTGAATCTGCATGTTTTGGTCTATTCATTGATGCAAAAGACAATCTCTATTGTTCAATGGCATGGAAGCATCAAGTTATTAAAAGACAATTAAATGACAACAATATGACATCAATAGTTTTAGCTGGTACAGGTAAAGAAGGATCTAATGAAAACGAATTGGATGGTCCAAAGGGTATTTTTGTTAACATGAACTTTGATTTGTATGTGGCAGATTGTTTTAATAATCGGATTCAGCTGTTCTTATCAGGAAAAACAATAGGTGTCACACTAGCAGGAATCGGTTCATCAGATGTCTCAGTCGCACTCTATTTCCCAGTTGGAGTTACACTGGATAGCATGGGACAAGTTTTCATTGCGGATATGAACCATAAACGTATTATTCTATTGAAGAGATATGGCTATCAATGTGTAGTTGGATGTAGTGGAATTGACTCAGAATCCAATCTCTTGTTGGGTATGGAAATATTCAATTTCGATAGTTTTGGAAATATATTTGTTATCAACCCGAAGACAGCGCAAATTCTAAAATATCTTTTTATAAATAATTCCTGCGGTAAGTGGAATGAAAAGATATTACTATTCGTTTAGAGATTTTATTCACTGAAATAAATATATCTTTGTTTAGGTATCTCATTTAACATACCAAAAGTTTGTTCACTAGCATTATGGAATTCAAATGGAATCTTATTTGCTGATCAGAAATTACTCGGCTCTCAGCCTCAGGTTTTATTTGCCGATTCTAATAACAAAATTTACGCTTTTAATGAATCAAATAAAGAAATTGTTCTATGGTCTCAATCTAGTATTCTACCTATACTACGTACCATCCTTGTCAACTCCTCACGTATCACTTCTATGTTTGTTACAAACAATGGAGATATTTATTTTGATGATTATTATGATAAAAAACAAATAACTCGATGGATATCAAATGAAGGCACATTTGATAGTATAGTGAATATTAATGGATCATGTTCAGGTATTTTTATTGACACAAATGAAACGCTCTTTTGTTCGATATCGAAATACCATTATGTTCTGAAAACATGGCTAAATAGCTATAAGAAAACATTAGCGATTGCAGCTGGTAGAGAAATTGCGGGATCTGCTTCGAATGAATTGAATTCTCCTTATGGAATTTTTATTGATTTCAAATTCGATTTATATGTAGCTGATTGTGGAAATGATCGAATTCAACGATTTCAAACAGATCAACTAATCGGTACGACGATTGTAGGAAAAAGTTCATCTTATGATGGAATTTCACTCCGTTGTCCAAGTGGAATAGTCGTCGGGAATGACGGACAATTCTTTATCGTAGATCAGGGCAATCATCGTATTACTGCATTCAGCGTTCATAGGAGTCTTCGATGTTTAGTTGGATGTCATGGACAGGGAACACAATCAAACCAGTTATCTAATCCTTTTACACTTAGTTTTGATCAATTTGGAAATATGTTAGTTACTGATTCGAATAACAATCGAATTCAGAAATATAATCTATATAAAGCAAGCTGTGGTAAGTTCGATGTTATCAATTTAAATAAGATACAATAAAGATCCAGACGCTCTATTTACAAACATTATTTGATTAGCTGATGTTGAGAGTGATATATGAGAATATCATTCCTTTGGGATCGGGAATGTTACATGGTTCTTTTATAGTTAAATCCTTGTTTCATTCCTCCACTGATAACAAATGAACATAAATGTATGTTTCACTTCATTTGTGACCGCTGACAATTTCAAAGATTGACTTGGACGATCCAATTTGATGTTTGCTGTCTATTATTTCAATCATTCTCAATGCGTACAAGTATAACCGCTGATGAAATTCCGATAGAGATTTCGTCAAATTTACAGGATAAATATACATGAATGCATCACTATATTTTACTTATAACTTTTCACGTACATTCATATCCTTGTGTTTTGTAGAAACTTAGTATCAGTTATTTTCATCAATCAATCAATGGAAATAATAGTCACTAAAATTCTATTTTTATTGATTAGGAGGACCATCGGGCAATCCAGCATATACATTCTCTATTAGCGGAAATAGTCCAACATTCAATCCAGACTGTTACAAGATACATCGTTTTTATGAAGCTATACAAATGAATGTGATTATAACTGGTTTTTATGTAATTTCATGGATTAGTGAATCTTTTTTTGCCTCTTTGATTTACAAAGATCATTTCGATTCAATGGATCCATTTCAGAATGAAATCGAAGACGAATCCGACGACAATCGAACTGCCGTTTACAAACGTATAATTGAACTTCGAGCTAACACTATTTATATCTTAGTTATGACAGGGCTGTTATATACTGCCACTATATCATCATGTTCAGTATTCATTGAAGGTCCGTCTAATATTAGTCTCACGAAGTTTCGTAAGTATATACATGTTTTTTGGTTGTACATAATCAGATTGTTTTGTCTATATATTAAATCAAAATGATATATATCATCCTTTGTAAAATTATATTTGTTCTATTCATCTGAATATTGACAAATCTTTTTGTTAGAATTTATAAAGCAGACTAGCGGGCGTACCCGACGAGATATAAGAAATATGTATGTCGAACGTCTTACGTGTTGAAAAGCTGCAGCAAATAGAAAAATCCATATACTTCAAGTTTCTAGGCTTGCGGTCCTAATCTTTCCCGCCGTGCATCGCACAAAACGACAATTTCAGTTATAGCTCTTTATGCAAAACAGTTACCGAAGCTAATTTCTGCCTCAGACATTATTAAAATTTCATCTTTCTCTGATACTCATTCTCTACACCAGCTATTCATTCATCGACATCTTTCTCACTCTCACGTCATTTCATATCTTATATCCTTCGAATTCACTCAGCCTTAACATTTATCTTAATCTGTTGAAAGCTTATAACGCTATTGGTGAGTTTTGTAGGTTACCTGTAGCATTCACAGAACTATCATATGCGTAGAAAAGACGTGGATTGTTGTCTATGAGCGCTCAGACGGCCTTTGGCCGCCTTCGCTACTAACCCGCTGCAATTTTTGAAATCCTGAAATCCTATTGGTCAGTTACATAGGTTGTCTATAGCAACCCATGTCGAGACGAACGGTTAACGAACGCGTTCGGAACAAGTAGTTCGGAACGCGTTCGTTCACCGTTCGTCTTGACATGGGAAGCCTGGGACTGTCAAAGGTAAACAAAACATGTTATATTTGTATATGAGCGCACGGACGGTCCTCGGGCGCCTTGGCTATCGATTTGTTTAACACTTTCTAAATGCTGCATTCCTATTGGTCAGTTTCATCGATTGCCTGTAACAAGCGCAGGATTTATTTTTTTACGAAACAAAGTAGACGTCGACCTTTCTCTGGACCTCGGGAAGGATCGTGGAAAGTTTGGTGACGATAGCTATTACAGGGACTGAATGCATAGCGAACAGACAAACAGACAAACTTTCATTTTTATATCTATAGATATACTAGAGGGAGACCCGCTGCAAATAAGAAATATCTATGTCGAATATCTCACGTGTTGAAGAGTTATAACAGATAGAAAATCAATACAATTAAAATTTCTACGCTTCCAGTCCTTATTTTTCCCACCGTGCATCGCATAAAATGGCAGTTTCGGCTATATCTCTTTATGCAAAAGAGTTACCGAAGCTAGTTTCTGTCTAAAAAATCATGAAAATTTCCTCTTTCTCTGATATTAATTTTCCACTCCAGCTATTCATTCATCGACCTCTTTCTCACTCTCACGTCATTTCATGCCTTATATCCTTCGAATTCACCCACCCTCATCATTTATCTTAATCTTTTGAGAACCTGTAACGCTATTGGTGAGTTCCGCAGATTATCTGCAGCATTCACCGAACTATCATAGGCGTAGAGAACACGTGGATTGATGTCTTTGAGCGTTCAGACGGCCTTCGGCCGCCTTCGCTACCGACCCGCTGCAACTTTTCACATCTCGCAATCCTATTGGTCAGCTTCGCAGGTTGCTTGTAGCATGTATAGGACTCCGAAGCACAGATCGAACATGTGGACTGTTGCCTATGAGCGCTCAGACGGCCTTCGGCCGCCTTCGCTATTAATTTCCTCAATTTTGGAAATGTCGCATTCCTATTGGCCCGTTTCATATATTGCCTGCAGCAAACAGCTGGTTCCTTTGTTCTCGGGGAAAAGGATATTTCGACCTTCCTCTGGATCTCAGGAAGCTTTGTGGAAAGTTTCACGCCGATAGCTACTACAGGGACTGAATGCATAGCGAACAAACAAACAGACAAACAGACAAACTTTCTTCTTTATATATATAGATTGTTACAGTTATATCTTCATACGTCTTTACGCATTCTTTCACATCACATATTCTTTTTTTCATTATACACATTCTTTACTTCTTTTTCTTTTATTCTTCATTCGAAGAAGATACAACGTGAGAATGGCATTCTCTCATATATATAAATGTATTTTTATCTGGCAGTAGTGAACTACGGCTGTTAAATAAAGAACGTAATAAAACACTTTACACGCTTTCTGTATCTTTTCTAATTAAAAATGGCAACATCCAGAAAGCGCAGCTACAATGAAATAGATGAGATTTCTAGTGATGAATCAGAAACTGAATCAGAAACTGAATCAGAAATGGAAACGGATGGTGAAACTGGAAGTGAAGACGACTCTGGTAACTCGGATGTTGAGGATGACGAAAATACTCCTTCAGTTTACACATACAACTACACATCAAACACGTGGCAAAAAGGCAATTTTGGACCAACTTTGTTCCCTCGACTGTAAGGAGGGTCATGTCGAAAAAAGGTGGTCAAAAACGGAAATTCGTTTGTGTGTGTGTGTGTGTCTGTCGCAGGTCAAGGGTCAAAGGTCAAAAAAACATTTTCTCCAAAAACGCTCCAATTTTCATGAAACATGGTTTGCGAGGGTGTTTTGACACTGAAAGTTGGTTGAGAGGGTGAGGACATGTGAGACAGGGTCGATGTTAAACGTACATTGAGCCCTGAGGTCAACGACCCATAAGAGAATTTCATTATGAGTGGAACAAAGATTAGGTAAAGTTTTTCATAATTCCAAATGTGCAAGGAAATGCATCATACATCGAAACTGAAAGATTCATTCTCAGAATGTAATGTAATTTGTATTTATGATAGTATGAGAATTTCCTTCGAAACACAAGTCCAGATTACAATTCTGACTTTTTTGCTTCTATTGATATGACTACAGAAAAGAGACAGCGAAGAATGTTGTATAGATTATTGTTAGTATTAGTTTTTGCTAGCGTATCGAATCATAAATTGGACTCTAGGAGAGGATGTGTCTCACACTCAAGTATAATAATGCAAAGAAAAAAAGTAATGATCGTACACTAAATGAACGAGATTTTGATATGACAACATCTCTAGTGATTGATAATTTTGTTGGAAACTGTTGAAGCAGGCATTGTTTAAATAAGTTGGATAGTCAGACTGAAAAATGGGAAGGGTGCGGAGCGGCGAGCTGCTCCCGGTGACGCTTTCTATTAGGTTGGCCAGAAAGTTTTTGCGTTTTTTCTAAAATTTTCCTAGAATAGTCAAGAAAGTTCTAGAAGTTTCCATATTGTGGGTATATAAAGGGGGTACGAATTTCTTTCGAACAATAACAAAATCATGGATATGGACGTTGATCAAGAATTAGAATTTAAGATATCTCGTAGAGAGCTC